CATAAAGAAAACAAAAATCCTCACAACTGGACCAATAAGCAACATCATGATAAAGGGAGAAAAGATTGAAGTTGTCAAGGATTTCATTTCACTGGGATCCACAATCAAAGAAATCAAACTACACACTGCATTGGGCAAGTCTGCTGTAAAAGATCTCTTCAAGGTGTTAAAAAGCAAAGATATCACTTTAAGGACTAAGGTGTGCCTGACCCAAGCCATGGTGTTTTTAACTGCCCCATATGCATGTGAAAGCTGGACAGTGAATAAGAAAGACTGAAAAAGAAATGATGCTTTGTATTATGGTGTTGGCGAAGAATACTGAATATACTATCGACTGCCAGAAGAAGGAACAAATCTGTCTTGGAAGTATAGCCAGAATGCTCCTTAAAAGCAAGGATGGCAAGACTTTGTCTCACATACTTTGTACGTATTATCAGGAGGGATCAGTCCCTGGGAAACGACATCATGCTTGGTAAAGCAGAGGGTAGTGAAAAAGAGGAAGACCTGCAACGAGATGACTGACACAGTGGTTGCAACAATGGGCTTAAACATAGCAACGATTATGAGGATGGCCCAGGACCAGGCAATGTTTCTTTCTGTTGTACATATGGTTGCTATGAGTCGGAACTGACTCGACAGCACCTAACAATAACAACAACGACAACCTTCTGAGGGTTTCTGAGGATCATCAGGAAAGGGATCAAGTCCCTGCACCTTACTCGCCCTGACCAATCTCATAAGGGGGACTACTATTTATTGAGTATCTTGCAGTATCAGGCACTTTGTGATCTCACTTCATTTTCATAAGCTCTTAGTGAGGATGTTCCTGTTTCTCTCCTTCAGGCACTGGTCTGGAAACTGAGGCTAAGAGAGGATGTAACTTAAAAAGATCACGAATTAAAATTTTTAGTAAAGCAATTGCTGTTTATTGCCATCATCTGACATTTGAATGGGGGTTGCATCGTCTTTTGATTCAGAGAGGACACAAGGGTGGAAGCCAGGGCTGTTGGCTCTTAAGGAGCACCAGTGAGCAAAACCGTGCTGCCTGGTACTTCTTGGTACATCCTGGTAGGATTCTCCACCTTCAGGAAGGAACAGGAAGCTGGAAAACCCTGGGTCAGATCACCTTAGGATTTGCCCCCTCCCTGTCTCTCCAGATCTCAGACCTCACTTCTCCCTCAGGGAGAGATTCATCCCTTTTATTACCCCCTCTTCTCCCACTGACCTCTAGTTTACAAATCGTTCTCCCTCCACTACATCAATAGTTAGTCCCAGGCCCTGTCAAAGAGCTTTTGGGGGGGTCTGTGTGACCACAATCCTCTTGCCGTTCTCAGGGCCTGATCTTCCCTTTGATGAGAAGCCCATCTAAGGAGACACTGGGGGAGCCGACACCAGCGGTGTGGGTCTTTTAGTTTGGGCAACGGTTGCCCTTCGGTAGGCTTAGACCCCTGAAGGTGGGTCTCGCATGACGCTGGTTGCCAGGATGTCTTCCCAGGGGTGAGCTAGAAACCCCAGTGTCCATGGAGTCCCACCTTCTAATCTTCACTCTCCTAGTCCTGGGTCTAGAGCTGGCCCTTGGCCTTCCTTTCCTGCTCACCAGTCCAATCTCCTGTTTGTGCAGCCCTGACCCCAGCCTGCTTGGTTAGAGCCCACATAGCTTCTTAACCGTTTTCCTCCAAGGGATTAAACCCAGGGATGTCTCAGCCTTGGGTATGGGATACTCTTTCCCATGGTCACATCACCAAGCTGCTGCATCAACCCAAGACCGTGTATTGTCCCCCACCCCATGTTTCTTCTGCCC